CATCTGGACGGGGGAGATGTAGAGTCTGAATAGTTCGCCAAGCATCTGGACGGGGGAGATGTAGAGTCTGAATAGTTCCCGGAAGTCCCAGGGTTGAGTCATCACACCCTCCATCTCTGTCTCCTCATTTTTCCCTCCTCTAGTCCACTTTATCCAAGGCCAGCCGGGCGGTGGAAGGAAGGCGTCCTTACCCTGCCCTAAGTGTTACATTGTAGCTATTTTCCTCACTGACTCCCAAATGTGACTTCTCCACATCTTAGCTGTCTAAGTAACTGAGTAGCCAGAAGCAGGGTTTCTGTTAGTTCTAGGGGGGCCCCTTGCCAGAAGCAGGGTTTCTGTTAGTTCTAAGGGGGGTCCCTTGCCAGAAGCAGGGTTTCTGTTAGTTCTAGGGGGGCCCCTTGCCAGTCTGAATGGAAGCGTCCCCACCTGCACGGCATACACTGATTATGGCAGTCCAGCTTTCTTTGCTTTTCCAAACCCAGAGAACCCTGGGATTGTGGGGGAGATCCTGAACTGGGTGCTTTGGGGATTTTAAACTTTGATATGCCTTTTCTTTTTTAAGTCACAAAATGATTTAGAATGTATTACTTTCACGGTTTTTCTCTTCAGCCTTAGATTGGTGCAAAGTAAGCTTAGAACTTTTAAACATCAGCCTGATCAAGTAGAAAAACCACAGGCTTTTATTAGAGCCACACAGAACTGATTTTAACTATGTTACTTGATTTGAGTCTTTTTCCTTCTTATAGTGAAGAACATAATAGCAGTGAACAAGTAACATCTCTTGCATGTAAAACCTCCGCACAATGAAAAGAGTAGTTGCTGTTACTGCTACTCACGTTTCTCTTCCTTTTGGATGAAACTAATGTAGCGGGGATCTTGGCCTCTGGGTGGGGAGGGGGGCCTGCAGGGGCATGCGGGGATTGTAGGCATGGCTAGAGTAAAGGAGGGGCAGCCTGGCAGGAATATGTGAGTACCCAAGCCTTACACTACTGCCTCCCCTCCCTGCCCTGCCCTGCCCTGCAGTCCTGTCCAAGAACAGCAAGCCCATCCATACCACCATCCTAAACCCGCACGTCCACGTGATTGGGGAGGACGCAGCTTGCATCGCCTATATCCGGCTCACCCAGTACATCGATGGGCAGGGCCGGCCTCGCACCAGCCAGTCAGAGGAGACCCGGGTGTGGCACCGCCGGGATGGCAAGTGGCTCAATGTCCACTACCACTGCTCAGGGGCCCCTGCCGCACCACTGCAGTGAGCTCAGCCACAGGTGCACCTGGTGGGGAGAAGGGACTGGGCAGGGGAGAGGTGACTTGGGACAGGTGGGGTCAGAGGAGGAAGAGAAGGGTAAGAGGTGGCCCTCTGGGAGGAGAGAGGGGCCATCTCGGGTGGCAAAGGCCGGGCAGAGTCGTTTTGATGAACTCTGCTCTGTAACCAGACAGACTCCACACGTGGCTCGTGCTGTCTTCCCCTTACTAAGCCTCCGTTACTTTAGTTATCAAAAGAGGGATAAAGTGGTACCTGCCTCCATTCCAGGATGAATTAATTGTGGGGCTCCAGTAGGATACTTTACATGAAGCACTTAGCATGTAAGACAGGTGCGAGGCAGTGCTGTGTTTAAACATCAGCTGCCCCTGCCGTTTTTTTGCTTGTTCAAGTAGACTCAGCCATGTGCGTAGCGTACCAAAGTCCCAGCGACTCTGCCTGTGCTCCCAGCGTCCTCTGTTCTGTTACCGCCTTCTGTTCTGTCTCAACAGGGGCATTAGGAGATTCCAGCTGGAGGTTGAACCTTCGCAGCCAGTGACTCTGGAGGGCCTGAGTGACAGCGGCAGTCCTGTTCGTTTGAGGTTTAAAACAATTAAATTACAAAGCGGCAGCAGCCCATGCACGCCCCTGCATGCAGCCCTCCCGCCCGCCCTTCGTGTCTGTCTCTGCTGTACCGAGGTGTTTTTTACATTTAAGAAAAAAAAGATTGTTTAAAAAAAAGAATTCATACCGTGATGCGTTTTAAAACAACTGATAGCCCTTGGGCTTACAAGAAGGCAGGAGTTTGTGTGACGCTCATCCAGGCATGAACAGTGGGCTCACCCACCAGCTTTGAAGAGGTGAGCTTGGCTTCAGGCCCCCCGTGAACTCAGGGGACCAGGCAAGGACTCTTGAAAGAGCTTTGGGAGCCATGGTGTGGCTGCAGCCCCAGAGGTGGCCTGATTACCCCAGGGCTAGAAGTGGACTTCTTCAGAGCGTTCATCAACACCTAGAACGAGACGGAAGAAATGCCGTGGCTATCAGACCCACTCGGGAGAGAATGCGGCGCTCCCAGCCGGCTTGTTGTGGAGGCAGCTGAGAAGCAGTAGCCTCAGGACTGAAGGCCTGGACTCTGCTGTGCTGTTCCAGTTAATGTAGACAGAAAGAATCGGTGCTGCAGAGGTGTGTCCGCCATGAAGCCCATGAGAAACCTCCTGTTAGTCTGACGTGCACTCACTCACCATTTCTTCAGGATGTACAATGCACACGGGCCCCATACCGAGGCCTGATTGCTGCGGATGGGAAGGGGGAGGGGTTGCTACTCTGCTTCCTGTTGGTTTTCCCAACTTAGTAAGGAGAGATCCAAACCTCGGCCCGGGCTCCTTTCGCCACTTGGCAGTCCTGTTTCTGTGCTGATGTGGGCCATCTTTGTCTTGCGTTTTCATGGTGGTCCCCATGCTGACCCTCATCTGGGCCTGGGCCCTCTGCCAAGTGCTCCTGTGGGGTGGGAGGAGCCAGCCGGTGGCGGTTTCTATGCACTCTGGCTGCCCTCTGGGCCGCCTCCCTGCCTCCCTCGGCACATCCACCTCCTTCCCTGTGTTTGAGGTTGAACCGCCTGCTCGGGTGAGCAGTGTCCTCCCTAAAGAGGCCGCTTCACTGACCACCTGAAGTACAGACTTTCTGTTGGACAGTCTGCATGGGCATCACCCTTCACCTGCATGTGCCCAAAAAAGGGTCCAGAGCCACGGCTTCCGCATTCATTGTCCCTCTGTGCTCAAGGAAGAAAAGATCTGTACCCTAAGCAGATAACGGAAGATAATGAAGGAGCAATTGGCTTGGTCTTGGTGTGTCCCCCTCCCGCCCCCATCAAACAACTACATAGAATCTGCATGGGGGGGGGGGTCAGCTCCCTGATGACCATCAGGAGGCTGGGAAGGCAGAACACAGGCTTTGGAACCAGCTGAGAAGAGAACAGGCTCGTGGGTGCTGGTGCTTGAATTTGGCCAGGCCCTCAAGCACCTTGTGCATGCCTCAGACCCTGGACCCTAGTCGCCCTCCCCACCCCCACCCCGCCCTGCAGCCTGCAGCGCCAACCCACAGGTCCCTTCACCACAGGGTTTGGTTTTGCTGGCTTGAAGACAGCAAATGGTCTTAGAGCTTGAGACCCATAGCTTCATATGGCTGCTCCAGCCCAACTTCTTAGCGTTCTTACTCCACTTCTGGGGCTAATGTCAGCATCTATAGACTATTAATAGACTATTTAAAAAAAAACACCTTTTAAACAGGAAATGGAAGGCATTTGATGCAGAACTTTTGCATGATGACTTAGAAATAATTTAAAAATTAGTGTTTGTTCTGAATGTTGGTAGTCCCTTCATAGCTTTGTTACAATGAAACCTTGAAGATATTTAATAAAATAACCTTTAAACAGTCCATTGTGTCATTGCTATTGGGGGTTCGTGACCAGGGGCTTGCGTGACAGGGCTTAGCAAGGAGCCGAACATCGTTTCCCGTTCCCTTGGGGGCACGAGTAGGAAAACTTGGTATAAACTCAGCCTGGGCTGCTGAGTCTGGGGAGGCTGGGAGGAAGTGGGCGCTAAGTGGTGGACGGCGCCTTCGCCCCGCCCCCGCGGGAGGAGGCCCCGCCCTCGCCGCGCGGGCGCCCTCCCCCTCCGCGGGGCCGAGTGGACGGGCCTGGGCCCTGGGCCCGCCCCGACGCTCCGCAGACCGTGCCACCCGGCGTGCAGGAGGGGGTCCGCCGCGCCGGCCCGAGCGCCGGGCCGAAGGTCTGGGAGGCTGCCGCTCTGCCGAGCGCTGCGCGGGGGCCGTTCGCTTCTCCCAGACCCCGGTCGCGCGGCGGCCGCCCTCGGAGAGCGCGCGGACCCGAGCGGGCGCCCGAGCCGCAGCGCGCCGCCTCCCCCTGGTGGGAGCGGTAGTTGGGCCCGGCCGCGGCGGAGCGTTGGTTCGCTCGGAGATGGCGGAGTCGCGGCGACGCGGCCCGAGGCCCCGCGAGCAGGGAAGCCGGGCGGCCCCGGGACGCGGCGGGGCCCGGGGACAGCGCGGACGCCGCCCACTCCGCGGGGCGAGCCATCCTTGAGAGCAGCCTGCCGCCCGCGGTCGCCCTCAGTTTCCCTCCCCAGACTTCCCGTGAGTGTCGCCGCCGTCCCCGCCCGCGGGGTCGTCCTGGGCGGCCCCTCGCCCGGCCCCGCGCGCCCCCGTCCTGTGTCCCAGCCGCGGGCCTCCCCTCGGTTGCCTCATTCCGGTCACTCTGCCCGGGTCACTGCCGGGCTCTCTGAGCCGGCGCCTGACTGGGTGTCAACTCTCGGCCGCGCCCCTGCCCCTTCTCCTGCGACTCCCCCACCTGTGGGCTCCTCGTGTCGCTAGTCCCTGCAGGAGGGCCCTCTGCCGTCGAGCCCAGGTCCCCAGTCCCCATGCCTTCCTCCCTCGGCGTCAGCCCTGCGGTCTTCCCAGCGGAGGGCCCACACCCCCAGCCCGCCTGACCCTGCAAGCGCTCGCCGTCCACTTTGGATAGCGACCCTGGGTTTTTCTCCTTCCTCGGAAACTTTCCACGGCCACGCACATGTTCCTCCTCCACTGTTAGTCATCCTGCTGCCCCCGCAACAGTTCTCCCATGACCCCCCTCCCTAAATCTCACTGTTTCCTCTAGGAATGAAGCTAAAATGCGGTTGTTAGAGCAGGAGCTTGACAGGCCTGACCTTTGAATCCCAGTCCCTCCCCTGACGGAGCTTGGGTGAGTTACCAAACTTCTCCGGGCCTGCAATTGTGTATGTGTAAAGTGGAAATAATATAGTTATATGTATTTTCCCTACCTCCTAGAACTGGTTTTAACTACAAATGCTTCTTGATTTACATCCTAATAAACCTTTAAAATACCCTAAATTGAAAATGCTTATCTTAACCTACTAACCACAGTAGCTTACCAATGCCCTTTGCTATGTGATGTCATGGCTGAGGAGGAACTTACACTGTCTGGTGTTACCAGAAGAGCATTGTGTTTGTAAGTCCACTACCTCAGGAAAGGATCAAAATTCCAGGGTCTGGGACTGTAACTCCCGGTAGAACACTTGCCTAGCCTGTGCAAGGCCAGGTATTTGGCACTGAAAAGCAAACCACAAACCGATTTGAAGTACACTTTATACTACATGCTCATCATTTGACCGTTGTAATAAGTGGAGCCGTTTTAAATCTGGATCTGTCTGCGTGTGCAAAGCTCTCAGAAGAATGCCTGACCAATAACAAGCACTGAATAGGCAGCATTAGTAACACAGGTGATGCGTGTGCAGTGCGGCTCTCGGGGTGCTCAACTGCTGGCTCCCATAAGTGTCTCTGGTAGAATTCTGCTTTCCTGCCATGTGGCGGTGGCACCCGCCTTCAGTCCCAGCACTCGGAAGGCAGGCACATGGATCTCTGAGTCTGAGGCCAGCCTGGTCTACACAGTGAGTTCCAGGACAGCCAGGGTTACACAGTAATACTCTGAAAAAGCAGGAAAAGAAAAGAACTGAGCTCTTCCCATGACCCCCAGCTCTCCTCCTGCTCTCTCCCTCCCTCCACCACTGAATTTCGAGCCTCACACGTGGTAAGCGTGGACTTTGCTGCTAACCTCGGACTCCAGGCCCCGTCACAGTTTTTATTCTGTCTCCCAGCTCTCATATCAGTTTTACCCAGGCCAAAGCTGACGTCTAAATAAATCGTCATAAATCATCTCTCTGGATTCTGAAAGACCTTGTCTCCATCTGTCACCACTGAGGAGTATGTACTGGGATGGGGGTTAACTTCACCTAGAGTGCCTATGATAAAAGTGACTGGAACCCTGCAGTCTGTAAGAGGAAAAGTACCTGCCAAGTAGTTTCCTTAAAACTGCTTTCTGATCATCTTCCCCTCAATCCCTCCATCCCTTCAACTAGCTCAGGGGTGCTCCTGGGCTGTTCTGGAGTGGGGGTGTAGTGACACACACCGTGGTTAATTCAGGAAGGAGAAGCAGGGGTAAGAAGGGGGTCTGGAGTCAGCTTTCTGGCCCTTCTTAGGTACTGGTGATGACATGTCCTTCCCTGGGTCTACATTTTTATCTTCTCTCCTGGTTTAGCATGGATGAAGTGAAGGCTATGGGGTAATTTTTTACAAGTAATGTCAAGGTCAAGTCTCGGAAGTTCTGGACTCAGGTTGATAGAAGTATTAGCTCTCACCGTTTCTCAGGTTCCTCCACCACAGCGGCCACATGACTGAAAGTTCGTTAGTACCGTTGGGTGTGATAAAGGGTGTGATTGATGTAGATTAAGACTCACGAGTTTTCTCCTATCTGATGCTTCATTGGATCGTGAGACTAACCCTGAGATGTGCTATCCATTCCTCATAGAGAGCCCGCCAGAGCTCCTGCTCATTGGCAAACTGCTCAGTCACAGGATGGGAATTCCTTTCAGAGTAGACCTCTGTTTCCCCTCTTGGCTGTTTGGTCTCTGTGGATAGGCTCTTTCATAACTTGAGTTCCTGCCCCAGCTTGAGCAGAAGGGAATTTGGATGCTCATTTGGGTATTCTAAGAGAACGCGCTGTGAAGCCAAGGTATGGGATTCAACTTGTACTATGTAGAGCAAGGCATCTGGGCTGGGGAGAGGCTCGGTGGGTAAAGCACTTGGCGCACAAGGTGAGCACCTGGGTTTAGATTCCCAGGACCCAGGAAAAGTCAGGTCTGTGGTGGTGCCCATCCCCAACGCAGGGAAGTGAAAACAGGTAGGTCCAAACGGTTTCTTAGCCATTCTAACTGTAGCAGAGGGCTCCAGGTTCAATGAGAGACTGTCTCAAAGACAGGAGAACAGTGCACACACACACGCGCACACGCACGCACACAGAAGAGATCATCTAATGAGTGTGGGGTAGGAGAATGGGTTAGTGACAGACTTTCAAGGGGAGAAGTACCCACTGGTTTCTCTGCTTTACAGGTTGTGGGGGCCACACCTGTGGACTCTGCTGGTCTCTGATGTGAGAGCCTCCACCAGAGCTGAAGGAGCTCAAGTTTCAGCCTGAGGCATGGGCCGGGGGGCCATGGTGACCTGAGACCAGTGAATTCTGTCCAGTGCCACCTGTTGCTCCTTCTGCCTCCCCCCATCTGTGTAGAAAGAGTTTGTATCTGTCTCATCAGGGAACTGACCCAAGAGAGTCCCTCTCCCGTATTTTTCTATTCTTCTGCCCTACCACGACCATTGCAGCCCACAGGACTCCTGCCTCCCATCTCCCGAGGTGGTCCCCCTGCTTCCCATTCTCCTCGCCATGCTCCAGCTGTGGAAGGTAGTACGCCCTGCTCGGCAGCTGGAACTGCACCGCCTTATACTGCTGCTGATTGGCTTCAGTCTTGTCTCCATGGGATTCCTGGCTTACTATGTTTCCACCAGCCCCAAGGCCAAGGAGCCCTTGCCTCTGCCCCTGGGAGACTGCAGTAGCAGTGGGGCAGCTGGCCCTGGCCCTGCACGGCCACCAGGCCCACCTCGGCCCCCTCGGCCCCCAGAGACAACCCGAACGGAACCTGTGGTCCTTGTATTTGTGGAAAGTGCATACTCACAATTGGGGCAGGAGATTGTGGCCATTTTGGAGTCTAGTCGTTTTCGTTATAGCACCGAACTAGCACCCGGCCGAGGGGACATGCCCACATTGACTGATCATACCCATGGCCGCTATGTCTTGGTCATCTATGAGAACCTTCTGAAGTATGTCAACTTGGATTCCTGGAGTCGAGAACTGCTTGACCGGTATTGTGTGGAGTATGGTGTAGGCATCATTGGCTTTTTCCGAGCCCATGAGCATAGCCTATTGAGTGCCCAACTTAAGGGCTTTCCCCTTTTTCTACACTCAAATTTGGGGCTCCGGGACTACCAAGTGAATCCTTCTGCCCCCCTACTCCATCTCACTCGCCCCAGCCGCTTGGAGCCAGGGCCCCTGCCTGGCGACGACTGGACCATCTTCCAGTCCAACCATAGCACCTACGAACCAGTGCTGCTCGCCAGCCAACGGCCAGCTGAGCCGCCTGTGCCAGGGCCAGCGCTTCGGCGGGCCCGGCTCCCCACTGTGGTACAGGACCTGGGGCTTCACGATGGCATACAGCGGGTGCTGTTTGGGCACGGCCTTTCCTTCTGGCTCCACAAACTTGTTTTTGTTGACGCTGTTGCATACCTCACTGGGAAGCGCCTCTGCCTGGACCTCGACCGCTACATCTTAGTAGACATTGATGACATCTTTGTGGGCAAAGAAGGTACTCGTATGAAGGTGGCTGATGTTGAGGTCAGTTTTTCTTTTCTTCTTATGTTTATTTTGCTAGAAAGTTTTGCAAGCTCTGGGTGCTAGACTCCCTGCTTTGATTCTGAGTTGGCCAGAGATTCTCGGCCTTTTATAGTTGGAAAGAAAGCTGCTTCCTATATATTTCTCACTCAGTGTGTTTCTCCTGATTTGGCATTCCTCTGCTATTCTTTACAGGCTCTGTTGACTACCCAGAACAAACTCAGGACCTTAGTCCCCAACTTCACCTTCAACCTGGGCTTCTCTGGCAAGTTCTACCACACCGGTAAGCTCACTGCCTGTTCTTAGCAGTTTTAGCTTCATCTGTCCCTTTAGTATTGACTCTGGGCACACAAGTTGGAGAGAGGGACAAAGATCAGGGACATAGTGCAGTGATGAGCTAGTGACAGACTTGGATTAGCATGCATGGCTGGAAAACGCATTGTCAGTGAGGCAAACAGAAAGCCTTGGGCCCTGGGTGGGGTCAGTAATGTCCAAAGGATGGGTGATGGTTACACTAAGGGCGCAGGGGCTGGCTGAGGTCAGCATTCAGGTGTGACCGTAGGGACGGAAGAGGAGGACGCGGGGGATGACATGCTGCTGAGGCACCGGCGGGAGTTCTGGTGGTTCCCTCACATGTGGAGTCACACGCAGCCACACTTGTTCCACAACCGCTCCGTGCTGGCTGAGCAGATGCGGCTCAACAAACAGTTTGCTTTGGTGAGACCCTTGACTCTCTTTCCCATGCTTTCTCCCAGAGATGACATTTCCTTTTTACTCCTCCCGAATGGACACCTCTCCTACCCTGTCCAGTTGTCTTTCTGCGGGGTATCCCCACCCTCTTTACCCTCTACTCCCCAAACCTCACCAGGTCCTGGTGAGAGTCTATGCCGTTCCCAGGAGCATGGGATTCCTACGGATCTGGGGTATGCTGTGGCCCCCCACCACTCGGGCGTGTACCCCATCCACACGCAGCTCTATGAGGCCTGGAAATCTGTCTGGGGCATCCAGGTGACCAGCACAGAGGAGTATCCCCATCTCCGCCCCGCCCGCTACCGCCGTGGCTTCATTCACAATGGCATCATGGTGAGGGATTTCCACTACTACAAACATCAGTGTTTGAAATTTAGACAGCCCTTGACTGACTGGCATTGACTTGTGACTTGTCAACTGCCATCCCAAGACATCCACGAAATAGGGGGTAATGAAGATCGTAGCTTCTGTTACTATAACTTGAGATTAGGCCTCTGCAAACCCGGGACAGTGCCCCTGACTTTGCCCTTATCTGTTCCCCATCTTACGATTCGCATCTCTTCTACCTCTGTGCCTTCTTTTCCTGTCAGGTGCTCCCCCGGCAAACATGTGGCCTCTTCACACACACTATCTTCTATAATGAGTACCCTGGAGGGTCTCGTGAACTAGATCGGAGCATCCGAGGTGGAGAGCTCTTTCTGACAGTGCTACTTAATCCGGTAAGGTGCCGAAAGGGAGCCAGAAGCCTAGAGTGTTATCCAGCCAGGATCTTTGCTCACCACAGCTGATCCTGAGCTAGGACGGCTGTCTGAGTCTCACATGTAGGCACCCTCTTGTAGATCAGTGTCTTTATGACACATCTGTCAAACTACGGAAATGACCGGCTGGGCCTGTACACCTTTGAGAGCCTGGTGCGCTTCCTCCAGTGCTGGACACGACTGCGCCTCCAGACCCTCCCTCCTGTCCCTCTTGCACAGAAGTACTTTGAACTTTTCCCTCAGGAGCGAAGCCCCCTTTGGCAGGTAAGGATGGAGCTCAGACTGGCAGAGATCTGATGGGGGTCAAGGGTTACGGGATTAGTCCTCATCAGACTCATGGCCTAACCTTCAGAATCCCTGTGATGACAAGAGGCACAAAGACATCTGGTCCAAGGAGAAAACCTGTGATCGGCTCCCCAAGTTCCTCATTGTGGGACCACAGAAGACAGGTAAATTGTCCGCAGCCAGTTGACCTGGGCTGCGTCTCATCCTACCTTATATAGTCGAGTCTATTGAGAAAAGGAGCCATTTGTTTTAATCTAGTGTGCTTGCGTGCATGTGCAAGAAAACTTGAGGAATCAGTTATTCCCACCATGTTTTGTTTTGTTTTTCGAGACAGGGTTTCTCTGTGGCTTTGGAGGCTGTCCTGGAACTCACTCGTAGATCAGGATGGCCTCAAACGCACAGAGATCCGCCTGCCTCTGCCTCCCCAGTGCTGGGATTAAAGGTGTGCGCCATAGTATTTTTTTAAATTAATTTATTTAGTGTGAGTGTAAGTGTGAGTGTGCGTGCATGTGTGAGTGTGCGTGCATGTGTGCGTGTGCGTGTGCGTGTGTGTGTGTGTGTGTGTGTGTGTGTGTGTGTGTGTGTGTGTGTGTGTGAGTGTACATGTGCAGAACAACTTGAGGGACTCCGTTTTCTCCTTCCACCATGTGGATCCTAAGGGTCAAACTCAGGTTGTCATACTTGATGGCAAGTACTTAAATCCACAGAGTACTTCCACAGCCCTGAGACAGAAATTTCTTTTCCCCTTAACCCTAGCTACATAGTACATAACATAATTATTTACAGAAAATTGGGCTCAGTGGCTCACCTGTAATCCTAGCGCCTGGGAAGCAAGGACAGGGGATGACAGTGAACTTAAAACTAGTTTGGGCTACATACTGAGTTCCAGGCTACTGGGATACAGAGAGAAGACCCTGTTTCAAAGTCTCAAACACTACTACTGCTAATAAAGAGCCACCATGTGTGCAGACTTTGCAGGGTGACAGTCTTGTTGTCCTTGTAGGGTTTGGAGAGTTGAACCTAGGGCCTTGCACATGCTACCACTGTATGTGGGATTTTTGTTGTGGTGGTTAGTTTTTTTGAGACAGGGTCTCATGTCACCCAGGCCACCCTGATCCCTATGCTTCAATTTACCAAGTGCTGGGGTTACATATGTAAGCTACCATACCTGGCTCTGTCTGTAGAGTTTGAAAATTAAATAGTGGTAGGGATGTTTTCTGAGCATGCCCAAAGCCCTAGGTGTCAGCCCCAGTATAAAGCCAATATGGTGGAACAGGCAGAATCAGAAGTTCAAGGCCATCCTTGGCAATAAAGCAAGTTTGAGGCCAGCTGGACTACCTAAGACCCTGTCTCAAAAATAGCCAGAGTTGGCTGTACAGGCTTGTAATTCCAGCTGCTTGGGAGGTAGAGAAGGTCCAGTGCACGCTCCGCTACAATGTATCAAGGAAGTTTGTAATTTAGTAAGACCTAACCCCAAACTACGGAAAAGTAACAAGTCTGGGGCTACCACTCCGTGGAAGAGCACTCCCCATGTGTGAAGCTCTAGATTGAGTCCTGAGTACAGGGAGGGGCAGACATCTACAAGGGACTCTGATAAAGCAGAGGGTGAAAGGCACAGCTTTTTTGTTTGTTTGTTTTTGTTGTTGGTTTTTCGAGACAGGGTTTCTCTGTAGCTTTGGAGGCTGTCCTGGAACTCACCTTCTAGACCAGGCTGGCCTCGAACTCACAGAGATCTGTGTGTGTCTGCCTGCGCCACCACTGCAAATAGAAAGGCGGGTTTTTTGGTTTTTTTTGGTTTTTCTTTTTTTTTTCTTCTTCTTTTTTTGGTTTTTCGAGACAGGGTTTCTCTGTGGCTTTGGAGGCTGTCCTGGAACTCACTTTGTAGACCAGGCTGGTCTCGAACTCACAGAGATCCACCTGCCTCTGCCTCCCGAGTGCTGGGATTAAAGGCGTGCGCCACCAACGCCCAGCTAGAAAGGCGGTTTTTAACTCTTTCCTGGGCCACTCCCAGGGCCTCCTTTCTCACTTTACGTTGGCAGAAGGGAGTTTTACTACCCACAAGTGAGTACTTTCTTATTTCCTTCAAGCTCATGCTGTGCCGCTGGCGGCTTCCCTGGAACAGGCTGGTCCTTGTCTTCCATACAGGCACCACAGCTATTCACTTCTTCCTGAGTCTGCACCCAGCTGTGACAAGCAGCTTCCCTAGCCCCAGCACCTTTGAGGAGATTCAGTTCTTCAATGGCCCTAATTACCACAAGGGTATTGACTGGTAAGACTGGGTCCCCTTGACCGTTTCTCAGAGTAACATTGCCTTCTCCAAAAATAACCTCTGTCAGGACACAAACATGTGGTCCTGCCCCTGAAAAGCTCCTTTTCTATGCTACTCTCTAGGTACATGGACTTCTTCCCTGTTCCTTCCAATGCGAGCACTGACTTCCTCTTTGAAAAAAGTGCCACCTACTTTGACTCAGAGGTTGTACCACGGCGAGGGGCTGCCCTTCTGCCAAGAGCCAAGATCATCACTGTGCTCACCAACCCTGCTGACAGGGCCTACTCCTGGTACCAGGTTTGCCTGCAGCTAGAGACACACTAGGCCTTAAGGGAGAAATGGAGAAGGTAGTTACTGCTAGAGACACAGAAAAGAATGAGGGTAGGGAAACTAAACTCGTCCCTTAGGGAGGGGTAGGCATTCTATTGTCCCCACACAAGAATATGTCCAGACTGATACTGTGGAGTCATCGGCCCTGTCCCTTCTCACCCTTGGTCCTGCAGCACCAGCGAGCGCACGGAGACCCAGCTGCTTTGAACTATACCTTCTACCAAGTGATCTCAGCGTCCTCTCAGGCCCCTCCGCTACTTCGCTCCTTGCAGAGCCGGTGTCTTGTACCTGGCTACTATTCCACCCATCTGCAGCGCTGGCTGACTTACTATCCCTCTGGACAGGTACATCTCCCATGAGCCTTCGCTAGGGTCCCCTCCTGTCAGCTGTCTTAGGAGTCTAGAGGGAACCACATCCCTGTCCCTCCAGTTGCTGATTGTGGATGGGCAGGAGCTTCGTACCAACCCAGCAGCCTCAATGGAGAGCATCCAGAAGTTCCTGGGTGTCACCCCCTTTCTGAACTACACGAGGACCCTCAGGTGGGCGTGCGTGGCTAGGGCAAGAGGTTGTGTGGGAAAGGGGCAGGAGCTTGTTTGGAACAGACGCCCCATCTCTCCCTGTGGGCTGGGACGGGGAGGGTGCAGTTGTGGGACTTGAGTTTCTCTTTTCCCTGACACCTAATGGCCTGTTCCTGTGAGCAGGTTTGATGAAGATAAAGGATTTTGGTGCCAGGGACTTGAAGGTGGCAAGACCCGCTGTCTAGGGAAGAGTAAAGGCCGGAGGTACCCAGACATGGACATGGAGGTAAGTGAGACCTGGGGCAGGCTGCCTCTCCATCTCCAGGGTCTGAGCCTGCTGCAGCCTTTACTGTTTGTTTCTCCTTTCACTTTTTCTCCCATCAGTCTCGCCTTTTCCTTACGGATTTTTTCCGGAACCATAATTTGGAACTATCAAAGCTGCTGAGCCGGCTTGGACAGCCAGCCCCCTTGTGGCTTCGGGAAGAATTGCAGCATTCCAGTGTGGGCTGATGCCCCAGCACAACCCCTGCTGCTTCACTGAGGGGCTAGCCTTTTAGCAGGGCCCACAAGGGTTAGTGTGGCCTGGCCCCTTACCCTCTACCTCAGTGGCCCCAAGATTGGAATGGCTGAAAAGGGAAGGGCATCCATCCCTTTCCCATAGCTTTGGGGCCTACAAAAGGGGCTTCCCTTGGTACCCTGTATCATGGTACTAGGTACCTTTGACCTATGAACCTGGGAAGTGAGGAAGAGAGGGTCCAGGGAGGGGGTAGAAGAATGTATTTGACTCATTGATTCCCTCTTCATCCCTGCCAGTTTGTCTGTCTGTCTATGCCTACCCACGAGAGGGCCCTGTGCTATGGCCCTTTAGTGAGACAGTGGGCTCTACCTGTGGCCTGGCCTCCCAAATGTCATTCACATTGAATGGGGATGAGGTCAGACAGTTGCTCATAGAGCTGAATAGGAGCCCTAGCTGTGGGCTAGAAATGTCCTTAATAAACATCCTTATTTTTCTGTTTTGTCTGCTTTACTGCAGTGAGAACCTAGAATACAGCAGTTATCAACTGCCTTTCCACAACTCTTCTATACAAGAAGGAAAAGACCCAGAAAATAGAGTAAAAAAGGAGTTTATATATTTATAAATGCCAAATAAATACCAGAGGCCACCCAACGCCCTCTCCCAGACAAAGCTGTCTCCTCCAGCCCTGGGCTTCTAAGGTCTGAGACATCTTGGCCCCAAGCTACAGCCCGAGAGCAGCTGCCAGTCTGGGCTACCAGGGAATTGAGTGGGGATGATCTGTCCAGCCAAGAGTCACTCCCTCTGTGTGAGGGGCCCCCATAGCCACAGGCCTGTGTCCCTATACAGAGTCCTCTAGGGGCCAGACTCAGGGGGAGAAGGTGGTTATCTCCAGAGAGACCCGCTGCCACAGCTCCTTGGTCTGTTTGCTGCGCTTGAGGTTCTGTAGGATGTCGTTGAACTGCATCATGCCCATGGGCGTCAGGCAGAAGGCGCTGCGGGCACTGCGGATCGCATTCACAAAGTCGTCGTAGTCGGCAGGGGTGAGGTGAATTAGGCGGTGATGGATGTACTGGGGGTGGGTTGGAGGGCATCAGCACAAAGCTCCCGCAGCTGGGGCCCACCTCCCTTAGCATGCTAAGGGCTCGTCCATCCTCCCCGGGGCTCAGCCCGCTCCAGTAACCCTAAGTTGTCACCTGCATGTATGCCTGCTGACAGCGCTGCACCAGCTGGTGGAATGCCGGGGCTCGAAGATGGTTGTGGGCATGAATGGGGTTCAGCCGCTGCAGCGTCTCCATGACGATCTCCTGCAGCACAAACGGGCTCAGCACCCCCTTGGCTGCCCCCACACAGAACTGGTGCACGTAGTTCACTCCTGGGGGGCAGGGGGAGGGGCATGAGACGGGGTGGCCACCTCTGCCCTCGGGACCCACTTACATATATATGTATCTCAGCTCTGGCCTGACAGAGAGCCTCCCTCCACCCCAGGAGCTGAGGGAATCTCCGCCCCCACGCTTGCACACATACCCGACCAAGGCCTCAACTCTGAGCAAGAGCTAGGAAGGAGGTCTGGGATGGAAAGGTAGGGAATCAGGTCCGGGGAGGGGAGGTGTTACCCAGCTTTGCTGCCAGCCCCAGCAGCCATTTGACATCATCAGTGTAGGGTGGGGAGCGGGAGAAGTTGTTAGGGTGATCGTTGTGTGCCCGGCGACCGAGCATCTCAAGTGCCAGCATCCCTAGGAAACACAGTAGGGCACACAGTAGGGTATGTCCTCCACCTTCTACCCCAGCCTGGTACCTGGCCCACAGTAAACAAGTTGAGAGGCAGCAGAGGGGATCCACCCGCTGTAGGTGGGAGTACAGAAAGGGCGTCTTACCAACACGGTAAGCAGCGTGCAGGTGGTGCAGGCTGTGTGGATTGACTGGCTGACTGTGTGTTTCCTCCTCGGGCGGTGGAAAACCTCCGCTGACCAGAGGGCTGGGCTGTGTGGTCAGAGCAGGCAGTGAGGCACCCTGGATGGCTGGAAATGTGGATGCTGGATGGACACTGCTCACTGCGGGTAGATCGAAAGCCGTGAGCGAGAGGCGGAACAGAGATGATTCCCGCCCACCTCCCATGTCCAGTGCACCTCCCTCCATTCACCTGCTCCCTGTCCCCAGAACTCACAGGCCACACTGGTTGGCAGTGGGAGCCCGGGCTCTGTGTGGTAGGGATGGACTGTGATGGGAGCCATGGAAGGGACAGGAAAAGATACAGCTGTGGCAGCAAGTGAGGGAGGAGTCACTGAGTAGGGGTATTGAGCCCCCAGGAATGCAGGATGCACACCCTATATGGATAGGGAAAAGAGCAGATGCCGAGTTACGCCCATGACGAATGGCCATTCCTACGTTTCTTGTTAGCCTTGGTCTCCCGTTTTCCCACCACCTCACCAGGACTCCTGGACAGCCCCAGTATGCTCCCAAAGTACTGTACTCCAACCGCTAGGCGCCTCAGTCTCCCACACGCCCACACTGCAGTGAAACACTCTCACCTGTGGGTATGCAGAGCTGGGCACAGGGAAGACGGCAGGCCGGGGCATGTGAGGCATAGGGTGGGCAGGGTGAGCTGGGTGGGTGAGGTACTGGGGGCTGCAGGGCAGGTGGGGCTGTAGAGCAGTGTAGGGGTGCAGGCCAGGGGAATGGCCATGCCCCAGTCCTGGACCTGGATATAAACTGGATCCCACTGAGATGACGGGAACCACAGTGGCTGCTGCTGTCACTGCTGCTGCAGCCACCGTGACAGGTTCAGTCCCAGGGCCACCCCTGCCCTCAGGCAGCCCCCGCCCCACCTCCCCTGCAGCCCTCATCCCACTGCCGGAGCAGCCAGTTGCCCCTTCACGGGCCATAGATGAGCCGCCTGCTGTCTGTTCATAGAGCCAGAACCACTGATGAGCAACCTCAAACAGCACCTCAGGGTACACGCCCCCACCCTTGGCTGCCTCTTCCACGGCCATGCAGGCCTTCTCCAACATCAGGTTATCCTGGAAAGGAGCACAGAGCATTAGGGAAAAGGGGCTTACCCAGGAACAGTGACTAGCTGAGGAGGGCATCAGAAACCAGGGTCAGTGCTCACAGTTCATCGTTTCTCTGTCATCCTCAGGGATCATGATGGTCCCTAAATGTAGGCCTCTATTTCCTTGTGTGTGTCATGGTAATAACCCTAGCTTTAGAGTTATAACAGGATAAATATATATCATAGAATGCAACACAGTATATGAATATAGTATGATGAATATAAAAGATGAATGTATTTGAACATCCCCAGTTTGAAAATTGGAAATACTAAAATCAGAAACTTTTTGAAAACTAACATACCGCAAGTGGGAAATACCATGATATATGCTTTCATGCACAAATAGGGCTGCAGGCTGTAAGTCAGTTGCTTGCCTAGTCTGTATGAGGCCCTGGATTCAGTTCCCCATAAATACATACATTGAAAAGAAAGAAGGCAAGAGGGACACAAGATTATCCCTAGGCTGTGTATGTAATTAATACATAAAATATGAAAGTCATAATTAAATTTGGGTCCCATCCCCAAGATAGCTCATAGACAGGAAAATATTCCAAAACCTAAAATCCAAAACACATTCCTGAACCTAACAGATTCTCAACCTATAATGTATGAAATGTTACAATGAGAGAAAATTTTGATACTTCTGAAACTCCTAAATATGGGGAAATGAAGAGGAGAGGGTCCCTAAGCCCCTAATAATAGAATGTCCCAGGATATGTTGCCAAGCCTGACAATGAGTTTGATTCCTAGGACCCACAAGGAAAGAAAAGAGGAACTCCCACAAGCTGTCCTCTTACCTACACACACACACACACACACACACACACACACACACACACACACAGTGGCACACAACCCACCCCGTCATATACACACACAAAAATTACTTTTCAAGAGAAGAGATGCTGAGCACTAAGTTCCCCATGTGCAGAGAGCCGAGAGCAGGAAGTACCTGTTCCTTGCACTGCACCAAGGCGCGCTGAATTTCATTGGGGTTCAGGGCGTGGGCGTGAGGCAGGCAGCTTAGAGCCAGCTCCGCCGCTGCCCTCACCATGTTGGAGTCTCGTGCCCGTGATGCTCTGTCGGCCAGTGATGCAACCTCAGGGGGGGTCAGGTGCCCGTCCCAGCATTCTACCAGTATGGTCAGGGCCGCACTGCCGATCTCCATCGCCTGTCCTTTAGGGGAGACAAAAAGGAGCAAGTGGGTACCACGGGAAGTCTGGGGATGGCATCTTTCATCCGATCAGCAATGTCACAAAGATAACACCTTCCTCCCAATTCACCTACCCTGTATTCAAGTCAGGACGTTGCATTACCTGTAATCCAGGATACATGGGAAGAATAGGTACGAGAGAGCCAGTTGGGAGAAACAAAGTTGTGCAGGCCAAGGGCATAAAGCCCAATCTCAAAGGCGCAGAGATGCAGGTTGCGGTGAGGGCCCTGGTGTCCTCCGGAGGAGGACGGATGTGTGAAAATGGAAGTGCTGCTGTTGCCCCCTGCTTTGATCAGAACTGTCTTCGCCAACTCGAAGTAGAAGTGTGCAGCTGCCTCTGACGGCTGGTTGGGTACATGGGGGGCGTGACTCTCAGGGCGGCGGCCCTTGTAACACCTGAAGGAGCAAAGAGGTATTGACAGGGTTGGAGATTCTTCAAAATAGTGTCTCAGACACCCGGGAAGGA